GTGGGCTATCTGTGCTCTGCCCACCACGGGTATCGAAACCCGGATTCTAGCGTTGTAAGTCCGCAGACATACCGCTGTGAATAGTGTTTGAGGCTGTTTCCATTGTAGGCTTGTTTTCTGTATCTGTGAAATAAAGATACAGGTGGTTTTGGTATACCAGGTGGTTTGATTAGTTGTGTTCAGTGGTTATTTTCAGTTGTGCTTGTTTGTTTGACTGAGATATTTGCATACGCACGCTTGGTGTTGCTGGTGCACAAAAATATAACTAATGAAAAAGAAACAAACAAGTATAATAAAATAGTTTTAACTTTATACAGACAAATAGGAATCGATATATACGTAACCTACCTAGCTATAGTAACATAGGAAGTGTTAATATTACAAAAAGTATTGAAACAAGAAAGTCAAAACTACAAAAACGGAGTTATTTATCATTTAACATTTTTAAAAATTCCGTATCAAGCATCATTACATGTAATTATTATTACATCATAATTGCTTAAACTAATATCACGTGACGGTAAACGCTCTTTGATTAGGAGAATTCCATAAAATTTATCAAATTCGTGCTTATAAGTTCGCATTTAATAATGAATAATAACCGTCCACCGGTATGATTCTTTTGAAAACTTGAGCTAGAAACTGCTAATCTAGTTTGCTTGGCCTAACCAATACTTATATCTGCACGTACTTTCACCCTAGAGTTTTGTTGTTCTAAATCAGCCGTCCTTAATCCGAATGACAAAAAACTAAAAACCGTTCACTATGAATCTTAGATGAAGCTGTAATAAAATGTTTAGACCAATAGCTCACGTGACATTTTGCGTAGATGTGCGCAAAATTCTGGTTAAATTTGAACTATTTTTGTTCAATAACTTTGCATATGTGACTTATATTTATACCAAATTAGGTACCTAATTGTAGATCGAAAAAAATCTATCAGTGTACCAAATAAGAAAAAAAATCCACAAAAGTTAAATATGTTTTTCTATCAAATAAATTTCTGTACTTTCGGTGCGAAAAAATATAAATAGGAAAAATTTCAATCAATATTGGAGATTTTATATCTCGTGTATTTCTTAATGGATTTCCTTGAAATGTGGTATGTGAAGTAAGGATCCAGTAGAGAAGATCCACATTCCTGGAGCAGGCTGTTTAGATCAGCTGCCTTTGTTCGTTTGATTAAGACACCGCCCTTAGCTAGACTCGCGGGGCCCACATCGTATTTTGGTAGTAAACTCGTTGTGCTACTTCAGTAGTGAGATCAAAATACCACCAGATATGATTCATTATTCCAAATGTAACATTGTTTCGTGTCTTCCACTCCTAGCAACAGGATGACCTGTCGTTTCAACTCTGTGCTAATCAATCAGCCTAATTCCATTTAATTACGAACAGTGGCCCCAGCACCGTTTCCACTATCCAAGTGTATCCAAGACCATTTTATGCACGTACACAAAATATTTTGTCCATAAGTTGTACGATTTACCCCACGGACTCTTTCAAATGACTTTAACCACCATGTGTAAATTATTTCCTTAAGACAGAAAAACAATGGGATTGCAAAGTCCTTATCGGGTATTAAAAATGGGAGATTTTTACAATATAGTTATGTTTTTGAAGTTACGAAACGCAAACTCACGGAATTAAACATAACTTGTTGAATTTACGGATAGGCCAACTCGTACCGTCTAACATTAACACGTGTGAGCGTTTTCGCGACCTTACGTTTCAAAAATAAAGTTAAATACTTATCTAAGCCAAACTTGCAAAATAACATTTATAACACGCAATTTTTGGCCCGGCATGGCACTCGACTCGCAATCTAAGGGTCG